AGAGAGGGATAGAGATCGGTGAGCGGCATCAGGAAGAGGAAGAGGTAGCGAGGAGGAGAAGGCAGCTGCAGGCTATTGAGGAGCAACAAGAAGGGCGCATCATAGAAGGATGGGCCTTCATGGCCATCGGCGAGGCAACAACTGTGGTAGCAGCCAGAAAATACTTGACAGGAAAAGTGTCCGCCAGGAGGATGTGCGGAGATTACCGCGGGCTCAACAAGGCGACTGTGGCCGATAGGTATCTTATGCAGTCGGCGGAAGAGATATTTGACAAGCTACAAGGTGCAACCGTGTTCACAACCCTGGACCTGAGACAAGGCTTCAACCAAATACCCATCCGGCCCGAGGACTGCAAGAAGACGGCATTTCATGGACCTGATGGACTCTATGAATGGAAGTTCATGCCGTTTGGCATGAAGAATGCTTCAGCACTGTTCCAGCGCACCATGGATGCGGCACTAAGGAACGTACCTGCAGCTGTATGTTACATTGATGACGTGGTCGTCTTCAGTGCGTCAGAGGAGCAGCGCGTGCAAGACGTGAAGGACACCTTGGAAGCCACAAGGGAAGCAGGCCTGGCGTGACATCCAAAGAAATGCAGCTTCGGCAACAGCTCAGTCAAATACCTAGGGTTCGAGGTGCAAGGGGGGACCATGAGCATCCAGCAAGCAAAAGTGGAAGTGCTGGACAGAGTGCCACCACCAAAAGACCGAAGCACTCTCCGAGCAGTTCTGGGCTTCCTGAACTACTACCAAAAAGTTGTGCCCAACTAACGCAGCCGTGCTAAACGGGCTGCTGAGGGAAGAACAGGCATGGCAGTGGGGAGAAGCGGAACAGGGGGCAATGGAGGCACTGCTTCGAGCAGTGAAGACTGCGACAGTGCTCACCCTTCCCAGCAAAGAAGACCCCTTTGTGTTATATACGGACTGGAGCAGTGCAGGGATGGGGGCCATCCTATGTCAACAGAGAGAGGGGCAAGAGATGGTGGTGGCGTTCGCAAGCAGAAGTTGCAACCCAGCTGAAGCCAACTATTGCTCATACGAAGGAGAGGGGCTAGCAGCGGTGTGGGGGGTTACTCACTTCAGAGTGTACCTGCAAGGCAGGCCCTTCGTGCTAGTAACGGACCATCAGACGCTGACTTGGCTAATGACCAACCAGGCGTTAACAGGGAAAAACGCCAGGTGGGCCATGAGATTACAGGAGTATGAATTCACCATCAGGCACAGGCCAGGAAAGACCCTGCAGCATGTAGACGGGCTATCCAGAAACCCGCCTCCAAAATGCCCGACGGCCTGCCTAGTGGCCATGGCGAGGGAGATAGACGGAGAGGGAGCTAGACGGAAGCAGAGCAAGGGGCCAGAAGTCTTGTGGGAGGACACAGAGGTGCTAAGGTGGATACGGGGGAAAACCACGGAAGCAAAGCCGACCAGTGAGAGGGCCAGAACGAGGAGAGCACACTACCACTGGTACCAGGAGCAACTGCCGAAGAATACCAAGGAAGGGTGGAAGCTGGTCCCCAAAAAGGAAGAGAGGGAAGGGATAATCGCCAAGGTGCACAGGCAGTTGGGGCATTACGGAAGCCTCAGGACGAGCCAGCTAGTGGAAACAGGATGGTGGTGGGCAGGCATGAGGAAAGAGATTCGGGAGTGGGTGGGTACTTGTGAGCTATGCAGCAGGAACAAAGCAGAGCTGGAGAGAGGAAGAGACGAGCTGCATTCGATGCCGATCAGAGGGCTGGGGTTCAGGTGGTTCCTGGACCTGGCGGGAGAGAGGCTACTCAGCCGCAGAGGGAAAAGGTACATTCTCATCATGATTGAACACGGCAACAAGAACTCGGCAAGAATAGCAGAGGCCTTTGAGGAGCAGGTGCTGACAAGGTTCGGGGTTTGTGGAGAAGTCTTGACCGAGCAAGGAACATAATTCCTGGGAGAGTTTGAGAAGCTGCTGAAAGAGAGTGGCATCACCCACAGAAGAACCTCGAGGTTCCATCCCCAGAGCGACGGCCTGACTGAGAGGTTTGTGCAAACAATAAAAAGAGGACTGCGGGCATACGGAGAGAGGTTTAAGAGAGACTGGGATGCCTGCTTCCCTTGGGTAGCGGCGGGGTATCAATTCAGCAAGCAAGCGGCTCTCAGAGACTCACCACTGTACTATCTGCTGCTGGGGAGAGAGCCCATACTGCCAGTGGATGCACCCAGACTATTGACAGGGGTGGTGACAGTGGACTCAGAAGAAAGATGCATCTGGTATGGAAAAAAGAGGATGAGAGCACTGAGGAGATGAGGAGGCATCTGTCCTCCAGTGCACTACAGTTCCTGAAACCAAACACAATACGGGCAGATGCAACAAAAAAATAATGAAGATGCAATTACTAAACATCAAGATGCAATCCCAAAAGCTGCATTGTCTCTTCTCCAGAGCAGTTCCTGAAACCAAACACAATATGGGGAGATGGGAGAGCATCAAGTATGCAACCTTTTTGCCTGTGAGTGAGTGCATGGGATGTGCAAGCTCCGCACCAGACCCAACAAACTACACAAGACTCACCAACCCACAACCAGTGACCATACTTATCAACCAGTAGCACGGACTCCCACCTTATGCATGGGACCTGGTAAACCACACCCCAAGGTGTCGTCTCATGTATGGGGTGTCGTTTTATGTATGACACGTCAGACGTCATTCCATCCCTGACTGACACCCCTGACAGTCCCCTTTTGCCCCCAACTGTCTCGTCCTTATCACTATCACATATATTCCTTTCATGGTTCTCCCACATCTACAATCACATTACACGCTCCGCACTTTCCACCCTTCCGCTTGTCTCGTCTTGCTTCTCCTTCACCCCACCCTGCACTCATCTCTTATCTCTCTACTGTTAACTCGACCTAAAAGTTTCCAACTAACCCCTCGGTACCCTCCATTGCCCCATACCCACTCTCATCCCCCCTCCCCCCCCCCCCCCTACCACCTCCTCCTCTACCCCCCTGTTCCTCTCTACCTCTCCTCATAACGGCGTCTCTAAGTAGGCTCTTAAGTTTCTACGTATCCCATCAAACCCTACCCCATTGCTCACCGTATCGCAACATGGTATCGTTACAAGGTCGTCCCGTTACAATATCAGCTCTGCTCCGCGGTTTCGCTGTAAAGCCTGTGGATCCTCGTGTCCTTACCCCACCTGACGTTCTTAATCGACGACATGTATTTCTGCACCAGCTCGTTACAGTTCTTAATGTGATTCACCCCCTCCGTGCGGTAACACTGCTTCAACTGTTCGCGAAGCAACTTCGCACGCTCGATCGCGACCATCTTTTCGCGAACCAGCCATTCGCAATGCTCGAGCATCGCCACGGGATCCGCGTAAGGGTTCTTCGGGTTCTTCACGATAACAAACGGTTAGCACCGATTTGACACTACAACATTAGCCGCATAGAATGAGCTGTGAACGTATACGCTGGACGGCCTATCTTTGGATTTTCGGAACTCTGATTATCAGTGTAGATTCATTTAAAACCCTGATGATCAGTGTAGGTTGTAGAGTTTACTTTACGGGGCAATGTTTTGCGGTTGCATGCATTTATTTAATAGGCCTGCGCAGGCCCATTAAATAAATAACCGTATAACCCTGATGATCATCACCCTGATGATCAGTGTAGGTAAAACAGCCTAAACAAACTTGTACACTGATTATGACAGTGTACAAAGGTTTATACACTGACTTAAAATTCTTTACTGGTGTAATGGCTACAGGATGTGTCTCAGCTGGTTGGATGTTTGTTATATCACAAGTTCAAATCCCGGCGCCGGTGCAATGTTTTGCGGCATCATCGCAGGGAAAATCCTCGCTACAGATGATTCGGTATCAGTGTAATGTACAGCGCACCCTGATACCGGCAGGGTAACCAAAATCGTTATCAGTGTGAATTAAAACTTAGCCTTTTTGCTCTAGGGTAAATTTTTTGATACCCTATTTTTGCAAGGGTAACTGTGAAAAAGCGGCCGCCCATCAGGGAAAAAAATGTATTTTACCCTGATATTTTGGGCCCTGGGCTGGACCCACCCACCCCAACATGTAGAGAGGCACAGGCAATCCAAGAAAACCGCATGCCTCAGCAGAGGATTGAACTCTGGACCTTTCGCTTACGAAGCGAACGCACTACCACTGTGCTACTGGGGCGATGTGTGATGAACTGTCTGCAATAATATAATCGAAGAATTTGACTAGGAGATGCTATACCTTTCCATGACATTTGATCATTGATGGCGACATCCACGGCGCGCGCGAAGCTGAAAATTCGGAGCTTGCCGAGAGCCAGCTCCGATGGACCATCGTCGCCGAGCGGCGCCTCGAGGGCGGACGCCATGCGGTAATACACACGTCGTAGTCTCCTCACCGTGATACACGCCTTGTAGTCTCACTCTCGTGCTCTCGAGACTCCTCGCAATGCGCGTCTCGATGCCTGAAGACGGTCCCGTAGGACCAGTCAAGTCGGTCGGTGGCATAAAATGGCCCAATCAGAAGTTTTAGTCGCCTCAGAACGGTCGAGTAATGATTTGAATCGTCTCAGAATCGTTCAAATAAACGAGTCGGTTCTGGGCGGTAACGCGTGCGCGCTGTCGTCGCATATCCGTTGCTCTTCCGTCCCCACAGTAGGCCGAAGGGTGCAGCGCAGCAGGCGGGCTTCGGTAGCCTGGTAACCGGGTTACTCAATTATAGTAGCCTGGTAACCGGGTTACATGTCGAATTAAAGTAGCGCTTCTGCGGAGCGCTGAAGCCTCTTCTTCTAATTCCAGCAGCCTTGGCGAAAATTCGCGACAGCCTTTTGCTTCGCCTGGTTTCACCTTTCGATCTTGCCCCTCCGCCTTCCACCTTCTGTCATGCCCAATCGTCCACGTGTCCCTTTTTCCACGTGTCCACGTCTCCCTCCCCTTGTCCACGTGTCACCATGTCCACTCATCCATGTGTGCATGTGTGTCTCACTGCGCGGCCCTGCAGGGAC